TATGAACCAATGTTCCCTCAAAAAAAAAAAAAAATTAAAAAGCATTATCATGGAAATCACTATGTTTAGTAATCAGGAAGGACGAGTTTTAGAGCAGAGGATCCAATAGAAATATAAAGTTGGCACAAAAACAGTCCAACTCAATTTAAAGCCGTGTAATTTAAGCCTTTTATTAGCCACATCGAAAAAGGTAAGCACAGATGAAAATGATTTTAATGATATATTTCATTAAACCTAATATATGCAAAACATTTTTATTTCTCCATATAGCAATAAAAAAAAAGAATTTGTAAGATATTTTCTTTCTTTGTTCCCTATTAAGTCTTTGAAATCCAGTCTCTATTTTACACTTACTTGGTACTCCCTTCCAATCATTCCTCAGCTCTATAAGTCTGTCATATTAAATCTTACTGACCTGATCCTATTAGAAGAAAGATTTAATTAAAATGCTTCTTTGTGCCAGTAAAAATTCATCAACAAGTACATGTTAATCTTAATTAAAAAAAAAAAAAAGATCATTTGCTTTGATTTTGAGGCTGTTGTGGAAACCATGGCCCCAACCTTTCACCTTCCTGGTGGTTTCTTACTTTGAATGACCAATTTGCAAATGACTGGGAAACCTATGGGATTAGCTCATGTTTCTCTTGGCCTCTTGAGATTTTGCTCTTCAGATGCCCACACTGCTTGCTTGAATCCTATGCTGGCAGAGGCTGGTAAATTATTTGGATTCATGGATTCAATGGGAGGAATAGGAAAAGTGTTTGGTGCTTTTATTTCCTTTGACAAGACATTCCTCTACACATTTGTTAGGGCAAACAATCCCTAATGCTGCAGCCCCAACCACAGACATCTGACCTTTACTTAACAGAGACTCTTTATTTAAATGTAGACTCTTGGGCAGGGCCTGGGCGCCCTAGAGAGAAGCCATTCATTTTTCTTTGGGGGTAACCAAGCCTTGTACTTTTCCATCTGAGGAAGTACGTGAGGGTAGTGTGAAGCCCCAGGAAACTGTGTTCTGTAAACTGCATCCAGGGTTATTTGCTAAGTTTGTGTTGTGGTATTTTGTTTGGTTTTGTCCTCATTTAATTTTTCAAAGGCGTGTAAGACCAGCAAACTTCTCCCAGATGAAAACAAATTTTCCCCATCCAATGGACATAAAAGAATGTTCTATGTAAAGGAATTCTCTGTCCATCTCATTGCTTTCTACCTTTTCTTTCCATATTGGATCTAAGTTTGAAGTGTATGTGTGTGTTTGTACACACATTTTTAAATTTGTGAAGCCTTTAACTGCATACAATTCATTCCACGCCACCCCACCCCATCTTTCTCCTGAAAGATTGATTTTCCCCAACACTCATTTCTATAACCACTGAAACATGGTGATCTGGGATAAGCAGCCTGGGGACCTTAGTACTGGGGACTAAGTACTTAGTACTTAGACTTAGTACTTAGGAACTGACATTTTGCTCAGTTCCTGGTATGCAAGAGTCCCTGATATCCATCTTAGACCATATACCACCATGAGGCAGGATGGTCCTGGGGGGATTCCATGACTACTGACCCTTTACTCATACGTTGGTATGCAACTATACAACTCACCTCTTGATATGCAGCCAGGTCCTATCTGACCATGTATAACCGCCAATGCAAACCCACCTGGAACCTTGTAGAAACTGAAAGTGTATGTAAGACACTGATTTCCTACACACAGCGCTCAACCTTGGAATACAAATCTGCTGAGTCAGCACCAGAGCATTAAACCTGCTTTTTCTTCTTTTTTTTTTAAAGATTTATTTATTTTTATACAGGAGCTGGGGTACAGGACAAAGGCACGGGAGGGTGAGAGGATTCACCAGAGACAGAGTGGGGAACAGAACAGGCAGACTGACTGAAACACACTGCTGTGGAGAGCAGTGGGCGAGACAGGAGAGGTCTGCTGCGCCATGTGGGAATCTCCCTGGCTGGCAGGAAATCGCCATGTGGGAATCTCCCTGGCTGGCAGGAAATCGCCATGTGGGAATCTCCCTGGCTGGCAGGAAATCGAACCCATGCTGCAGAGGCTGAGGACAGCTTCACAGGGCTGCGCTCAACCTGCTGTGCCAACGGGGAGGCCCTAAACCTGCTTCTTGTTAGCCTTGGTGTCCATGTTTCCTTTGCGCCATATAACACCATTTCTTTCAGTGTTTATTTTCCCCTTCGAATTTGGTTAATGCTCATCTAGTGTGTGCTCGTTTTCTGTTGCTTTTGTGAAAAATCGCCATAAACTGACTAGTAGCCTGAAACACATTGATTATTTCACTGTTTTGGAGGCCACAAGTCCTTGGGCCTAAGCACTGGCAGGCATGTGTCCTTTTCTCTCCCCCGAGTCCTAAAGCCGCCCTGCCGTGGCCTCTTCCTCCATCTTCAGGGCCAGGCGGTAGCTTCTTTAATCTCTCTCTTTAAGCCCTCTACGTCCTTCTTCATAGCTCCATCACTAACTCCATGTTTCTCTCTTTTTTAATCCTTCCATGTAAGGAAATCACCTTTTGCCGGTTGGGTAATCTAAGACGATCTCTCCATTTTAAGACCCACAACTTAGCCACCTATGCAAACTCTCTCTTGCCATGTGATGTAACATAGTCACATGTTCTAGGGATTTTGGGGAGGAGGCATTACAACTCACACCCTCTATCTCGAGCTCCTAAATCTCCTTTGTTTTCCAGCAGCATACACAGGTACATGGCCATCATGTGTGAGAGACTCAGATATGGAGATCGCTCTCTCTCTCTCTTTTTTTTTTTTTTTTAAGATTTATTTATTTATACATACAAGAACTGGGGTATAGCCAGAGGTGCAGGGGGTGAGCAGATTCACCAGAGACAGAGTGGGGAACAGAACAGGCAGACTGACTGAAATACACTGCTGAGGGAAGCAGTGGGAAACCAGAGAGGTCTGCTGCACCATGTGGTTCATCTCCCTGGCTGGGGATTGAACTCATGCAGTGGCTGCAGATAGCTTCGTAGTGAAGAGACTTAACCCCTTGCACCACGAGAGAGGCCACTTCTCATTTGAACTCTTGCAATGGCCTGTATTCTCTGCTCCCAGCCTTCCCCTCAAACACAGTCCAATAGCATCTTCTGAACTGAAAAATACAGTTCCAACAGTTACACCTCTGAATGTCTCCCTAGCACCTGCTATCATCCGCGCTGCTTCCCATTGCACTCGAGGTCCTGCTCCTATGTCTGATTATTTCTTCAGCCCTCTGTTACTTGCTGTGGTTCACTTGCTCTCTCTTGCACTCCATGAGACTTGATAATTCTCTCCCAGTAACCCTGGCCCATGGCTCTCTCACTTCCTCCACTGCACCTGGTTGTCCTTACTGAGCTTCGTGTTTTCTAAACTGTTTCTTGCAAACATTTCTTATTTTATTTTTTGCCCCACTCACTTGAGTCCTTAACACAATGTGCACTTTCAATAATAGTCTGTTATTTTGCATTCACAAATTCATGAGCAAAAAGCTTTTAAATCCCTTTCACAATATAAAATGGGATTAATTTAAATGTTCTGGGAGATTTCATAATTCCTGAGCTCTTTAGTCTAATGCATTCTGTTTGGGGAATGTGGGAAAACTGAAGAGAAAGATTGGGTTTTATAATAAAGCAGGAAATTGTACTACCTGGAAAGTGTGTGAGCTTTTGGTGAAAGCCCAAGGTACTTTATATGCAGTGCACTTGTCCTGAATTTCTTCTGTCTGCTTGGAGTGCAGGCAGTGCTATTTTCTTTTTTACTTCTTTCTCTCTTTGAATCAATATGTTTGAAAGGGATCATCAGTCACTATTCTCATTTGACTTGGGGTGGCCTTGGGCACAGGCATCTTTTATTAAAGATCATCTCACACTCTTGTTCACCCTCCCTTTGGCCTCACCCCTGATCTAACCTGAGCGTGACCTGAACAGCTCTTATTTGCAGCTCTGCCTCCATCCCTCACACGTCTTTCCTTTTTTTAAGAATTACTTTGGCATATGAAACTCAAATTCAGCTAGTTTACATTAGAAGATCTAAAATATCCTACAAACTTTATCCAGTTACATTTTGGTAGAGAGCCTGTACAATTCCTGAAGCAATTATTTCTGATATTGAATTATTTCACATACATAAGAAAGGAACAAGAAATAGGTCAGTAGTTGAAATTCTGTAAAAGAATCTTGATGCTCTGTGTGTGTGTGTATGTGTGTGTGTACACGCGTGTGTGTACAAGCTCATGTGAGAATGTTCTGAAGAAACAGGTCTCGATGGGTGGAAGTTACAGCTCCTTTTTTAAGAATCCAGTATTTATACTTGTATCATTGAACACACTAAAATAAGATGAACCAGGTGCCAAGTTCTCTACTGCCAATGTCTACAGTGAATGTGTTCAACAGGGCAGGATGAGGGGTCCCCCAGAACCCCCAAGACTGCCTGCTTTAACTAGGTCTTGGCATCCACCACATCAAGACAAAACATATTCTAGTGTGTAAGGCCATCAATGGAAAGGAACTTTAATACAATCAGTGTGTAGTAAAGACAAGCAAAGGGAAAGAATAGTTTCCAAACCAAGGACCCAAAGTTACCCATCCCCTCCTGGGTAAATGCCCAGTCAAACAGGGTTGGCCCAAAGCAGGCCACTGAGGCCGAAAGCTTGCCACAAGTCTAAGCACCTTCTCGAGGGGACACATAGAGAAGGAGCAGAATGGGTCATACAAGTTTGTTAACCTCTCCATAGGTCTCTCACCCACCTGTTTCAAATATCTCCTTCCATGTCCCCCAAGTTCCTGGCACAAGTCCAAGACCAAAAAGCAAACATAGCTTCTTCACATGTCTCTCTGCTCCATGTGCCTCCTCCAGGCCTCCTCTGGCTCTCCATCCTGCTTCCTCCCTCTCCAGTCTCCCCCTCCAGTTTCTCCTCCTCCCTGCTCAGCTCCACCCTTCTTTGGGTGGGGCAGCAAACCTGGAACCTCCCCTTTCCTTGGGGACCAGGCTGTCACAAGTGGACAGGACGTTTGTCTTCCTGGTTACTCAGAATTCCAACCTTTCTATCCTGGCGAGTAGGTATGTACTGTTCCTGATTCCTAGCTGTCAACGTGTGGCTATTTGGCCTTGTGCCTACCCATTAGATGCTACCACTGAGGAGAAGGTACAAAGATAAAAGATTGACAAATCTGTTGAGAAGGTGGTAGTCGGAAGCTCAAAGTGTTAGTGAGTATCTGTGGGTGGGAGTTTTCAAAGCAGGGCTTTTTTTTTTTTTTTAAAGATTTATTTATATATGCAGACAAGAATTAGGGTACAGGCCAGAGGTGTCGGGGGTGAGAGCATTCACCAGCGACAGAGTGGGGAACAGACCAGGTGGATCTACTGAAATACACTGCTGAGGGGAGCAGAGGGTGAGTCAGGGGAGGTCTGCTGCTCCATGTGGGTAGCTCCCTGGCCAGGGATCGAACTCATGCTGCAGTGGCTGCGGATAGCTTCATAGGTTGCCTCGTAACCCCTTGTGCCACCAGGGAGGCCCAAAGCAGGACATTTTTAAGGGAGAATCAGCTATGTTCTCAACCACCCACCTCTCTTTGTTTCTGTCATTTTCTAAATCCAGTTCTGAGGTTTAGATTCATTGCCGGAGCAACTTGATAACTGTGTTTCAAACAGCTTCGACCTATCAGTTCACTTGAATTGGTTTGTGTTGTTGGCATCCAAGAGTGTTTACTAATCAAAGTCAGGAGCTGGCAAGAGGACACTGTGAAGAAGTGTCTTTAGTGAGTTACCCCAGAAGCAAATCTGAGGCTAGAATTTGAGGGTCAGTGGTTTATTTGGATGCTAACTTCAGGACATACTGGCTGGGAAGTGGGAAGGGGATGCCTGGAAATGGGTCTTGAAGGTTCGTAGACAGAATACAAGCCTGGAGAAGGCTGAATAGGTTCATATGGTCACGATCAAGGAAAAAACAGCACTTACCCATTGTATCTAAAACAATTGTGTGTGTGTGTGTATGCCTGTGTGTATGTCTATTTTTCCCCTAAATTTGCAAGTCTGCTTTCCTCAAAGATTGCAAATCCTTCTATGTCCAGGACACAAACACTGGAGGGTAATCTGGGTTTACTCCCCCCAAAAGGATCAGATAGACTTTTCTCAATAGACCCAGAGTGGGCCTCTTGCCACCTTGATCTGAGAAAGAGGGGTCAGTCGCCTCAGGGGGTCAATTACCATGACATAGAGAATGCAGATCGGTTTGCTGTTGGGCCCTGAAGGCTCAGGAAGCTTCTTATACTTGCCTCAGTCCTTGCCCCTCCCTAATTGAAGAAGAGATCAAAGTCCTTGGATTCTGCCCTTTTCCTAATCAATGAAGCCCAGGAGGAGATGATTTTTGGACTTCGATCTAGGAGTCTGTTACTTGAATCTTTTCTGTTTCTCTCTCTCTCTCTGCCATTTGAACAGCACATTAATTAAAGATCTTTGAGCTCACTAAGAGTCTGCTTACAGATGGCCAGACTCTTGGAACTGGCAAAATGGGTTTTCTTAACACTTTGGAGTGCTTGGTCACCCCTCATAGTTTCAGCTGGGTTCCCTGACTGGGAATGAGCCCCCAGTTTCACCCCAACTGTAACAGGGTGGTCCCCAGGAAAGGGGGAGGTTCCAGGTTCCCTGCACCACCAAAATGGAGGATGGAGCTGAGCAGGGAGAGAAGAAGCTGCAGAGGAGACTGAGGAAGGGAGAAAGCAGGATGGAGAGCAAGGTGGAGGCCTAAAGGAGGCGCATGGAGCCTCGAGACGTGAAGAAACTGCGCTTGCCTTTTGGTCGTGGACGGGGTGACACAGATGTGGGTGAGACCCGTGGGGAGGTGACAATGGCAGCTTTTATCTTAATGTTGATTTTGCTCTTTTCCTTCCGGGCTTGTCTGGTTGTTTCTGACCCTTTTCTGTGGGTCCCCACTGGAAGGTGCTTTAGACTTGTGGCAGGCTTTGGGGCCTTGCTCTAGACCAGTCCCATTTGGATGGACCTTTATCCACGAGGGGACGGGTAACTTTGGGTGCTTGATTTAGAAACTATATTCTTTGCCTTTCCTGTATTGTTTCCTAATTGTATTAAAGTTCCTTCCCATTTAAGTCTCATGTTTTATGTTGATGCGGCTGATGGCAGAGCCCATTTAGAGCAGGCAGGTTTGTGGGGTCTGGGCTGCCCCTCTCCCTGCCCTGTAACACAGCAGTATTATGAGAAGCCTGTCATTAATTCCAATTTGCAGTAATTATGCCTGAAATTAGATGTTTTATATTTCAAACTAACTATAAGAAAGTGATACTGATAAGATTTTTAATGGAAAAATTACACTTAATTGGAGAATCACTTTGACTGGTGACAACAAAGTTTTCCAAAAATTATAAGTTACAATTCTTAATTGGAGGAACATCAGATGCTCATGATGAGTGTGTACAAATAGAAGAGTGTGCAAGCAAAGGGTCTCTGTTGGAAGGAAAAGGAAATACTCCTAGAATTTAGAGATAATTGACAACTTGGAAAAATCCACCTGGCCAGTTAGCTTTCCTCATTCTGCAAACATTGAATAGCATATTTTTGTTATAAACTTACAGCCAGATTGTAAGACTAAACTCTGAAATTCCAGTGATTACTCCTGTGGGCAGGACTGCTATGATTGGCTGGGTTTCAGGTTTGCATGTCTGTACAGACAGAGAAAAGCCAAAAGGTATTAGATCAGAGCCAGTCTCCTCCAAAATCTCAGAGGGGGACTAAACTAAGGGGCCCCTGGATTCTGCAGTTGGTTTCGCCATTGAGCCTTCTTCCTTCTCCATATTCCCTGCCCTTGGAGATCTCCCTACCCCAGGAAATAGGAATCTCCTCTCTTAAAAAAACCTCAAAAAAAAAAAAGAGAAACAATTCCAAATCCAGTGGTAGTTGGGAGTAACAGTTTTTCTGGAAGACTTATTTAATTTCTTCTAAGAAATTGTAATTTTTCCTACTAAACTGTAAAAATCTATCAGTTTGATTCTGACAAATACACACACATACATATTTGTTTTCTTACTGTGAATATATCATCTGAAAACTTAAATTAACAAGTTGAAGTGTTGGGGCCCAGGGGTGCTAAGGGACCCCAAGATTCTTGACATCTATGCAGGAAGGGAGGGATTCATGTGGAAGTAAGTATAGGTGAGTGTTTTACAACCATCCCAGGCACAGGGCACAGTCACTGTGGGTTTGGGCAGATGGCTAAAGAGAGTCCTGGAGCCCTCAGTGGATTTTTCAGGATTTAATGCTCTGTCAGGGAACCAGGTGCACCAGGCAGGGAGGTTGGCTTGCTAGGAGGAAGTTGTGGGCTGGGCTGGGGGCTGGGAGGCAGGCAGGTGAATCTTTTCAATCTTTCTCTGGCCTCTCTAGCACTGTCATTCTCCAGTCCTCTCGTGGCCTTGTAACAGGGTGGTCCCCAGGAAAGGGGGAGGTTCCCTGCTCCACCCTCCCTTGTGGGGCAGGGAACCTCCCCCTTTCCTGGGGACCACCCTGTTACAATGGAACCTCCCCCTTTCCTGGGGACCACCCTGTTACAGCCTCACCTTGGAGTGGTCCTCAGAATGACCCCAAACTTTTATCCATCACCTCAAGGCACAGGTGTGAGCATTCATACTGCCCTCATATGTCCACAATCATAGGCATTCATGCACAGCACCCACACCCCTCGCCCTGGGCATCCCCTCCTAGGCACGGGAGGGTGGAAAAAGCCCTATGACTTCATTTACCCAGCAGTGAGTTAGAAATAAAGGTTTATTGTAGGTGATGTTGATGTGGTTTTTGGAATTTGGAATGTGGGGTCCTTGGGTTCAAATGGTACATGATGAAGCTAAGAGTAGAAAATTGTGAAGGAGGCATCACAAGACTAGGAGGTGGGGTAGAAATGATTACTGACATCAGCATACAAGGGGAGTGAATGCAGGCAGAGTCAAAGGTAAATCCCTCCTTGCTCATATAAATGCTTACTTAGTTTGAGGGAGCAGGAGCTCACAGATGGGATCCTGAATGGGTTTTTGACAACTTCTACTCAACAAAAGGAGCAGGAATTTACAGAATGGGATAATGAGATTTGGCTAAATTTGTTTATGAAAAGTACCTGACCCCTAACCTCCTGTTAGATAAGATAGAAATTTTACAGCTTGTGGCACCTGGTGTGAGATAGACTAATAGGGTTTGAGTCAAACTAATAAGGCTTAAGTCACTTTGTTCTGAAATGTGCTAAATTCCTGTAGTACCTCAGAATGAAGTAAAGCATGCTGCTTTTCTGGCTTTTGTTAATTCTCAGCTTATTTATACATCTGAATCTTAATTACAACACTGTGTTAGTTGGGAAAACAGAATCATCCTTTAGCTAATGGGAGGGGAATTAGAAAACATACTTGGGGTGGTAACAGCTCTTATTTATTTATTGCAACATATCAGACACAAATATACATGTAAAACTTTTTTGTTGTGATTAAAAACAAATATTTATTTGGTCTTCCTTGATTTTTCTGGAACAGGTCTCCTAAAACTCTAGTAAGGGATAAGATCTACAAAGGTGTCTTTTGTTATGTTAGGAGGTAACTTTGGGATTACACCCAAGATGGGGGCCATGGTTGACGTGAGAGCCACCCATGTGATAAGGCTTTGAAATTTCAGTATCACCCCACTCCCACAACCTGTGGGAGCAAGAGGGACTGGTGATTGAGTTCAATCACTAATGGTCAATGACATAATCAGTTATGACTGTGTAACTAGCCTCCATAAAAATCCAAAAGACCAGTTAGTAGAACTTCTGGAGGTGTTGTATTAGGACACGGGAGCTCCATGCCCTTTCTCCATACCTTGCTCTCTACCATCTAGATGCTTCTGAGTTATACCCTTTTAAAGATTTATTTTTATTTTATTTTTTAAAATTTATTTAAGCATACAAAAACTGGGTGTAAGTCAGAGGTACGGGGGGTGAGAGGATTCACCAGAGACAGAGTGGGGAACAGAACAGGCAGACTGAAATCCACTTCTAAGGGGAGCAGCAGGCATTTAGAGGAAGCAGGTTTACATGCAGAGGGCTGCTGCTGCGCTATGTGGGTCAGCTCCCTGGCTGGGGATGGAACTTGTGCTGTAGTGGCTGCTAATAGCTTCATAGAGCTGAGACTTAACCCCTTGCACTACCAGGGAGGCCCCTGAGTTATATTCTTTTAAAATAAAGTGATAATATAACAAGTAAAATGGTTCTTGTAATTCTGTGAGCCACTGTAGCAAACAAATCTAACCCAGGTAGTGGGCACCTGATTTATAGCCACTTGGTTAGAAGCACAGGCAACAATCTGGACCCTAACTGGCATCTGATTTGTGTGTATGTGTGCGTAGGGGACAGTCTTGTGGGATGAGCCCTTAGCCTGTGCACGCAGATGTTACCTCCAGGCACATAATGTCAGAATTTGAGTTGGATCGTAGGATGCCCAGCTGGTGTCCACAGAGATGCTTAGCGGGGAACACCAACCACACGACTTCACTCACACATACAGGACTTAGGTGCGAACACAAACAGAAACTGAGCTCTTTAATTTTTATTGTAAAACATTAGTGATTTCATGTGGTCTGAAATCTTTCTTAGTAACTTCATTCTGTTCCCGGCTTATCCTATTCCCAGCATAGGATCTGCTCTCAGGCCTTTAAGTAGCTTCTGAAGGTGAGTTTGCAAAAGAAAAAGCTATATGTGAATAAGCTAAATTTGAAGAGTTAGGGTATTGGGGTGAGAGGATGGCCTAAACAAACTCCACAAACACAGGTTTTATGGACCCCACCCCTACCCCAGGCCAAAGAGATCCAAGACACCAAGAACTACAAATCCCATAATGTCATCACCACCGAAGGGAGGGTTGCTGGGAACTGAGGGTGGAGTTAAGCAGCCAGACTTGCTATATAACCAGACGTGTGGGCCTTGGAGGTCCTTGTTTTTTTTTTTTGCCAGCTTTCAGTGTGCTGTTGGGCTCCCATCTTAGCGGAACTGGTAGGACACATTCACCAATTTATCTCTTTTCACCTGAGTTACTATTTTCTTAATTCCTTTTTTGTAAATAAACCCTTTATTAACCTTTCTGTGAGCCTGCAGTTGAGTCTCATTATAAGTCCCTTTAAAGCGCTCAGGTGAGGACCCATAATCAGGCCTACCGAGTTTAGATTGGGATAATCTTGTAACAGGGATACAAAGTCAATTTGCACCCCTCTGGGTTCATCTAAGATGGCCGTTAATCCATCCAGTATCTGATTGATAAGCGAAAAAGGCACATAAAAGTTTAATAGTAGCATGTAAACCTGCTTGCTTGGGGGAGACCCGGCATGAATGAACAACTGACTCACAAGGTTTTAAATGTCCTCCAAATTGCTTAGATAAGACAGAGGGGGCTGGGGGATGAGAGGGGGCACTCTTGTTCCTGCTTAAGAGATAAGGACACTAAGTCTTCCTAGGAGAGGTTATAATAGAGATGTTTACATAAAAATATCAAAAGTAACTTCTACCCATTTGTAGGGTAAGAAAAAATGTCAGGCTTTTCTGCCCTCCTGCCATCAGGATAGATGATGGATCCTGCGGTCCTGAATGCATGCCTGATGGCGGGCACCTGGAATAGGGTGTGGGCAGAGGTAGACGGGATTCACCTGGGCTAAGGCTGTGCTTTTTAAGGGCGGCGTCACAGGGACGCCAGTAGAAGCCGAAGCAGAAGCCTAAAGAGAAGCCAAGAAAGAAGCTGAGAAAGAAGCCGATGAGAGAAGCAAAGAAGCAGAAGCAGAGAATGCCAGAGAGCCCAGATAGAGTGAGGATTTGCTGGGTGCTGGGAGGACAGCCAGCCTCCCGGCCCCCCAGGACCCCTGCCTGCCATATGCCTGGTGAACCCCAATAAAAAACCTGCAAAAGCCACTGAGGACTCTGACTCCTCCTTCACCTGATCTGCTGGATCAGGAAATCTGCTCAGTGGTCAAGTCCTGCTCTTACACCATTCTTCAGGGTCCTTTGTTGAAATCTACCTCTTGCAAAAAACATTTGGGGGTGGCAGGTATTTGCTCCCTATAGAGATATGCATTAGAACAATTTCTTGATTGTAGATGTCTAAATCTCTTGAATGTTGTAGGGTAAGTGAAGATTGCTCAGCATTTTGCACCATGCACCTCTGTGGCTCTCACCTGCAGCCTTCAATGCGGGAGGCGCTTGGGAGTGTGGGCCAGGGCACACGTGCCTGATGGTGGATACCTGGAGTGTGGTGTCAGTGTGCGTGAGTGGGCGCGCCTGCAGTCTAAGCATCTAAGGGCAGTGTCACAGGCAGAGGACTGTGCAGTGAAGAAGGGCTACCAGAGGAAAGACCTCAGATTTTCAGGGGGGCCCAAATTGCTGTCTCCCTGCTGACCTTTTGCCCCTAAATCTGTGGGGATGGTGCCAAGGGCGCCTAGCTTCTCTTTCAAGCTGCCTGAACAGTGATGATCCTGCCTGGCCTGGGGTGGTTGCAGAACAAAAGTCTAATGGCCAGTGTATGTCATTTAACATTATCTTTGCTAATTTATTCAAATAATAATAATAAAACCTTAGTATCTGATTGCAAGCTCTCACTTCTGTAAGACAATGGGTTTTGTAATGGGTTTAGCACTATCACCTTGAAGGCCTCAGTTCCATCCCTGGCCAGGGAGCTGACTCACATATGTTGCAGCAGACCTCTCCTATCTCTCCTGCTGCTCCCATTACAATTTTATGCCAAAACCCATTACATTTTTATGCCCCTATAACTTAATTAAAATGCTTTCTTTCTCTACTCTGAGTTTGTATTTATACCCAATTCTAGGATTATTTTTGTTAAGGAAATAACAATGTCATATTTTATTTCTTAAAATAAATATTTCTTCAATTGCAAAAAACTTTTTCCACATATAGAAAATTTACCTGTGGTTTCTTTCTGTTAACTCAAGAGACACTTTGGCTAACCTTTTTTTATTCAAATATTAAAACTCACAAAAAGGACCAGCTTCTTTAGTCAGGAATTACAGGACTTGCCACTGTTAATATTGACATAAAAATAAATTTCAAAACTCCAATGCATTTAAATGTCCTCTTATTAGATTTAATGTAAATTTGATCAATTTAACTTTTATTCCTCTTAAGATTTTGGAATTCTATAAAAATAATTGTTTACTATCTCCATTTGTTACAGATGCATCTCCATGAAATGGGGAGGAACATTGTAGTGTCCTGAAGAAGGCACCATTTGCCCCACCTCCTTTTGCCTGCAGCTGCCTCAGGCTAAAATTCCTAGCATGCCAAAATGAAGGGGTGCAGGTTCAAAGAAGTGAAGTGGATCTATACATTGAGGTGGACTGAAGGAGAGAACTTTGAAGAAGAGAAAGGTAGGTGAGAGACAAGACAGTTCTTATATTGACTTTGTGTTAGATTACACGACACATTTTGTTTTATAAAGATTTTCTTTTTGCATAGAACTGGGATGTAGCATGGATGTGAAGGGTAGTGGTGGTGGTGAGAAGAGTCACCAGAGACAGAGTCGGGAGCAGAACAGGTGGATCTACTGAAATACACTGCTGAGGGGAGCAGCAGGGGAGACAGGAGAGGTCTGCTGCACCATGTGTGAGTCAGCTCCCTGGCCAGGGATCGAACTGAGGACTTCACAGGAATTGAACTGAGGCCTTCAAGGTGATAGCGCTAAGACTTAGCCCCTAGGCTACCAGAGAGGCCCACACAGCATATTTTGTATTTCAGGTCTCTCCTTCTATCCCAGTGTTCTGGGCCCTGCCTACCCTTTTTTGTGGTAACCCATTGAAAGGTCCCTTAGACTTAGAAAAGCTTCCAGCCCCAACCACAGAACTCAGTGGGCACTTACCCACTAGGGGGTGGGTCATTTTTAGTTTTACTGTGAAACTGTTATTTGAAATCTTTTTTCTCTCTATGCACACCAATTCTATTCACATCAGTTAAACATCTTTCACTAGCAGTTTGTTTTCTTTGCCCTTGTGCCTACAGATGGCCAAACCCTTAGAATGTATAGTGAGCATATCTTAACAGTTTAGGGCCCCTGGTTACCCTTTGCTTGCACGTTTACAAGTTGATTTTTTTCCGTCCACTTCTCTGCTATGAACTAAAGTCAGGTACTAGGCTTTATCAGAGATTAAACTGTTACAATAGAGTTTGGGCCTCCAGACTGTTTAATAGAGGTGCCTGACATCTTAAAGGTGAACTTTCTACTTAAATTAAGCAAAGGTCATCTAAAAATAATTTTGGGATTGTGTTTCTTCTAAAACTAAAATATGGTTTTGAAATTAATATAAATGAGAAACTGAAAGTCAGTTATTCTATAGTTTCCCTGTATAAATTTATTATTTTCCAGCATTATTGAAGAATAATTGACACAAAATATTGTATTTACTGAGTATGCAATGTAATGGCATGGTGAGACCCGAGCCAAAGACAATAGCATGAACAGTGCCTTATTCTTTAACTTACAGTTTAGTTTAAGGCATTATGCCACATTCCTGAGGGCCTTGGTAAAGGGTTGCTTAACACTTGAAGAAATATTTATGTTACCTGTGAGGATGCTGATAACACCAGTGCCTGAGGAACCACCTCTAACAACCTTGGGCCAATTCAAGTTGATAACACAGAAAAGAGAAGGTATTCCAGGAAGGTCATCTATAAATGCATGAATGACTGCACCTATGACAGATTGCCAGGGTCTCCATGGACCCGAGAATGAAGAGACACTCCCCATGGAGTCCTCCTGTCACACTCTCTGATTCCTCTCTCCCATACAACCTTTCTTCACTTCCCACTCAAGTTGATGGTCTCTTCAGAGTGTTAACTGCCCTTCTCCAGTGGTGGCACCATATATTAATAAAGGACTTCTTTTCACATCTCCTCACAATTATTTCCCTCAGATTTTGAGTGAGGTTGCCAAAATCAGAAATGCTTGTGAGGAGATTTGAGTACACACAAGTGTCATGTGTCCATGGGTGTGCATGGAAGTGAGTGGGGGCTGGGTGCCTTTCTGTACTGATGTAAGACAAAATCTCACACAGACAGGCACATCCCTACTCAGAGGGAAGCCTGAGGACCTACGTGTTCTCAGCGGCTTCCAGAAATTGTCAAGAAGGGTTCTGGACAATCACAGACACAAACTGAGTTTCAGGCTAGGTTTAAACAGATCTCCCATGATCAGAGGATTAAATAGAACACATGTATTATAGGGATGGGATAGATAAATGAGAAGAGACTTCTTGGAAAGAGCACAGAACTGGGAGTCAGCCTTTAGTTTGCTTTCTTCCTGGTTGAAGAGAAGTCAACATTATTTAAATTGTAAAATGAGAATAGTTTTTGGTCTAGACTAAGTCAACATAAACTTCCCCGCCCTGGGATCACAAAGATTCTTCCATGCGTTCTCCTTAACCATGCACTTTTCTCTTTCACATGTAGATGTTTATTTCATCTGAGGTTTATTTTTGGATGTTGTATGAGGATGGAACCTAAATCTATTTTCTTCTTATAACATGATTATCATTTTTAAATAATGTATCATTTACCTAATGGTTCATGATGCTACCCCACTCTATGCTTTACATTCACTATAAACTATTTGAAAACTCCTGAGATGCCATTTCTCATGATCTCATTATGGATTTATAGCTTTTCTACAAGTTCCTTAAAAAATAGTGGGAGGGGGGCCTCCCTGGTGGCACAGGGGGTTAAGATGCAACCTAAGAAGCTGTGCACAGCCACTGCAGCATGAGTTCAATCCCCAGCCAGGGAGCTACCCACATGGCATAGCAGACCTCTTCTGATTCTCCCACTGCTCCCCTCAGCAGTATATTTCACAGTCTCCCTGCTCTGCCCCCAACTCTGTCTCTGGTGAATCCTCTCACCTCCCTGCACCTCTGGCCTGTGCCCCAATTCTTGTATAAATAAATAAATAAATCTTAAAAAAAAATAGTGGGAGGGAAGTCACAAGGAATTGAAAGTATACTGCATGTGATTCATGCACTGGCTTTAAAAATTTTATAAGATAACAATACCCAAAACATTAAAATTAGATTTAAAACCACATCATCTTAATAGAAGGAACTCATGTAAGAAGATCATAGAGACATGGATTAAATCTCCATTCATTAAACATCTGTTGAGTGTCTATGACATCCCTGGCACTCAGTGAAATTCAGGGAATCTGGAAATAAATGAAGACTGAAGACTGCCATTTGTGTTTTTTACTGGTGCATTCACTTCAATCAATCAATCAATCAATTAATTAATTTTTGCATAGAAGAACAGGGGTGTAGGCCAGAAGTATAGGTGAGAGGATTCAGAGACAGAATGGGGAGCAGAATAGGTGAATTTACTGAAATTCACTGTTAAGGGGAGCAGTGGATGAGACAGGAGAAGTCTGCAGTGCCATATTCAGTGGGTTAGCTCCCTGCTGGGGGATTGTACTCAGGTTGCCACAGCAGTGATAGCACTGAAACTTAACCCCTAGGCCACCAGGGAGGCCCCTCCATTTACTTTTGTCATGATCACATATAAAACTCTGTGCTAAGCAATCACTGTCATTAGATGCTGGCTAAATATTAGAGTTTAGAGAAGTCAATAGAAATAAAATCAAATAGGGCCTCCCCGGTGGCGCAGCGGTTGAGTGCTGGGTTGCGAAGCTGCCTGTGGCCTCTGCTGCGCCGGTTCGATCCCCGGCTGCTCCCAGGCTGCTCCCCGGCTGCTCCCCGGCTGCTCCCCGGCTGCTCCCCGGCCACCGGAGGAGGGTCCCACATGGCGCGCAGACCTGTCCTGCCGCCCGCTGCTCCCCTCAGCAGTGTACTTCGGTCCTTCTGCCTGCTCTGCTCCCCGCTCTGGCTCTGGTGAATTCTCTCACCCTCCCGCGCTTCTGACTGTACCCAGTGCATGTATAAACAAAACAAACAAATAAAAAAAAAAAATAAAAACATGCCTCTATTAAAAAAAAAAAAAGAAATAAAATCAAATAATGTGAACCATAGAAGGAAGAACAGGAGCAAGATGATGTATGATTCTTCTGCATGGAAGATTAATATTAACTTGTGACACCATGCATCTTTTATGATTTGAATTTTGCCACTTAGTATATAGAGTAATCAAATCTTCATATTCTAAAAAGAAAGTTAAGACCCACACCTATAAAGTATGCTAGACCTGTTTATGAAGGAAAGGATTTATGTCTTTGTGTTAGTAATAAATCCTCAGTCAGAGGTTGATTTTGCATCCTACTTATCTTGACTATTCAGAGCAAAATTGCTCAAATTATTTATTTATTTATTTATGTGTGTGTGTGTGTGTGTGTGTGTGTGTGTGTGTGTGTGTGTGAAACTTGCGGGTGGCTGGGGAACGAACCGGCGCTGCAGAGGCTGTGGGCAGCCTCGCAGCCCAGCGCTCAAATGCTGTGCCACCAGGGGAGGCCCAAAATTGCTCAATTTTTCCGAGTGTAATTCCATAGATTAAATTGAAAGAATTCCTTGGAGCTTAGATAAATGTCACAAGATAATGCACTAAATTTGTTGACTTTAACAGGTTCTGGCTCTGATTATATGTATTTTGACTTCAGTGATTATTTCTGTATGAATAATTTACTTGTCTAGCCCTTTTCAGATTAGAAGTAAAAATTAGAAGTATAGAGTTGTGAACAGTGGCAACAAAACTAGTTATATATGACATTTTAACATTTTAGTTAAAATGAAAGTATGACAGTATGAAAGGTGACCTGGGATTCAAATTCAAAACACAATAGAGCACAACCAAGTGAAACTCTGCATTTAGCATGATGGCAAATAGACCAATGTCCCTCTTTCCTGTGGCAAAATAATGGTTCTTGAAAATGGTGATCACTGATATAGAGATAAAGCAAAATGATTTGAAACTATCTGACATTCATGAACAAAGTGAGATTTTTGAGGCTCAGAGGAAGGTGAGAGAAAGGATGGAAAGGATATAAGGATTAAAATAATTGCTTCCTTATTTAAGGGAAGATCCTTTACTTTTCACTAGTTAGATTACTAAAATCCAAAAGCAGTGCATTTAATAATGAAAGAAACAGAAAAAACAAATTAGTGGAGATAGAGTTTGAAAAAGCATTGGACATGAAAACAACTAGTTTTAGTATATTCTGTATGAAAATGAAAGTTGTCAGTATTTTTTTAATTTAAAAACTTGACTTCGCACTCATCTTTTATGACTCAAAGGACTAGATGATGAGATGATTGAAGGAGGCATTTCTTAGGATCTGCTAGGGCAAACACTGATGGGGAAGATTTAAGTCAACAGGAAGTTGCTGGATTCTTGGCATGTCTATGCTTTGGGAACTTAGTTTGAGAGACCAGTAAATAGGAAA